GGGGGGGGGGGGGTTGGTAGCACCTTTGCCCCCTGCTCCCTCAAACTTCTTCCCATCCTGTCCCCTACTCCTTCCCCTTTCCCTTACTGTCAGATCCTGCTCTCCCTGAGCACATGGAAGTGAGTGACAACTTTAAAAACATTGACCTTGAAATAAACATACCTGTAGTAATTTGCTACATGTACCCGTAGACTGAGTTCTTCCAGAATTTGATACATTTCAACTTTTTTTGAAACTGCTAAAGGTTTTTTACCATAGGTACTCCATAAACACACTTTTAAGCAGTACTTTTGTACCTACTTGTATACAGTGCAGACTGCATGATATTAGTCCAAAGCCAAAAGGCTCATGATTTACTGTATAGTTCATTGGGCAAGGCCCCAGCAGAGTCAACAACATTTCAAGTCATAGGGACCCCACAACTCAGCACTATTCAGTGTGTGCGTGTGTATTCCAGATACGCTGCCCACCCCCCCAAGGGATCCATTTGCTAATTAGCTCTCCACTCATGACTATAACTGGGTGTCCTTGTCATGAGTCCTGGGAGCCTCCAAAAATTTATGTGCAGATGAGACGCAGGGCAGCCTTGTTCAGTTTCACCTCATGAAGGGCAGGGCCACACTAAATATCTCATGCATTAGGCTGAGAGAAGAGGTGACAGGGATTCTGAGTGAACTGTTTGGGGTGCCATTTGATGATGCTTGTTTGTCAGACATTTAAGGCTGGCGAAAAAACAGGAATCACTGGAAATGAGAAAGGTACAGCTCAGCTGTGGAAGCGAAGAGGAGGTCAGAATGTATTCCATGTAGTGGCTCAACATGACTTGAAAAAGTTGGTGCTGAGGGGGACTGTGCATAATGGCAGAGCCAACCTTGGGGTGGGCAGCATTGGTGACTACCCATGGTGCTATGATCAGGGGAATCGCACATGCACAAACACACACACATGCAAGAATTGCACAAAGGGAAGTACCTTCTCTGTTATTCAGATGGGTTGCACCAACCTATCCTTGTGGTTAGTTCCTATCAGTATATTTGCCCAGTATGGGCCATGCTCAGTGTTGGCTGCATTTAATTAATTTCACAGTTGGTTTCCATGACTGAGCACATGCTGCTTTTGGCAGTAGTTTAATGCTAGACAAAGTATTTAATGAGGTTTCCTTGTATGTATCTAAGATGAGGGGCTCTTTTTGTGGGGTGGGGACTTCATCTTGCATTTGGGTGAGCACGGTAATATGGCAGCAACCAACCAATACTATATATTTCTGGTGGTATTATGAAAAAAGTTTAGTGGTACTAAGAATTGATAAGTCTGTGTTTGAGGACAATAAACATATTGCTTTTACACTACAGGTATTAACTTAGCCCAAACATATCATTTGGATGAAGTAAAAATTTTCATTGAACCATAAGTATTAGAAAATGGGTTTGCATTCCTTGCCCTGAACTTTTGAAAATAACAGGGTAGGTTTAAAAATAATTATTTAATAAATAATCGTAAATTATGCTTTATATGTTGAAAGGAAGCACCTTTACTTTCTTTCCACTTTTTTAGTTTTAAATTGTCAAAGTGGATATTTTGCACTGGTTTGTTTTAGGCTATGTACAGAAATTTTAGTTTTCCCTGGGACAGTCATTCTGTCAGTAGAAACCACAAATGTACAGAGGTTCAGGATTTTCTAGGATAAAAATAACCCAAGAGCCAGGGTTAAATCATTCACAGGAGAGTTTCTTCCGGGATAGTGAATGTCGGCATATATTTCAGGGTCCTCCAGCATCCCAGGGTGCTTTGCTTCTGGCCTGCATGCCCTTGTAAAATTGTCATCTTCTTGACTGAAGTGAATGACACAGTACTCTTACTCTTTTACTTAATTGCTTGTTGAATACATAACTAATTGACTCCCAGAGACCTTGTTCTGTATCATGGTGATATGGAAAGTATGCAGACACTACCATTTCCAAGTTTTCCAAGAAATGACAGGACATGAAAGCTAGCAGACGTGTCCTCTGTACCAGAGCTGACCACATATTTATTAAAAGCTTTTTTAAAGAACTGGATGGACAGCACTGCGATCATGATTTTTTAAAAATTATATCAACTGCCCATAGAGAAACTGATCAGTGCAGACCAGAAATTGCCAAGACATTTAAGCATTTCTTGCATGGAGACTGAATGCCATGTCCTACATGTCTGTGGAACCTCTGGAAGGAGCCAGTCTGATGTGTAGCTCTGTTGTTCAGGCAGAACATGAAACAAGTTGATTTTTTTTCCAAGGAGGACATGTAAATACTGTCTCTCTTGATGAGGAGCTGAATATGACCCTTACCTCTTTCAATGGAATCTCTGAGACTGTAGTAAAACTAAATCATTATAAAATATATTTTTAAGCAGCTTATACTGCAAATGGCTTCCCACTAGAAATAGTAGGCTGGCTTAAATAGTTTTTGAAGAAAGATGTAACAACTTTTTATATTTTCAGATTGTATTATCCTTGATCATGCCGAGGTGTATTGGAAGCTAATATTTGTTTATCAGTTGAGTACTAAAGGAATTGATCTATCCTCTTGCCAGGTTTGGTGCATTGCAGAGGTGTTCATTTGAAAGACCTTCGTTTTCTGTATCCCAGACAACAAACAGAAACACATCTTAGCAGGCAGCGAGAATATAGCAGGAAGTTTGGCTGTGAGGTGCGGGGGTTGAGATTGAAGGTGGCAAAGCCCGATTATTAGCTCTGGGTACTGGCATTATAGCTGATTCAAAATGAGATGGGAAGAGAGGAAAAACAGATGCCAAATGCACATTTGTTTAGAGGTATTCAATCCTTAATCTAGGATGGGGAGTTGAGGTGTCATTCCCAGAAGCAATTTCAAAATTAAATGATGCCAGGAAGCATTTTATTGTGAAAGGATGTGATATCATCCCTTCTGTTCTCTCCCCATTTACCTTCATACCTATTTTTAAAATCTCATTTCTCCTATTTTTGCCTGTCATTTCTGCCTCTTCCTGATCCCTGAACCTGTTTTTCTTGTCTGCACCTGAAAATAGGCTGTGTTCTAGCTAGGATGGATTTTCTGTCTCCACCTCCTCCTTTTCACTTACCCACCTGTTGTGTGTCTCCTTCTCTGTCCTCCTGACATGCTGTGCTGAATGGGCTTTGCTGTATGCATTACCTCTTGTCAATCAGTCATCAGCATTGTCTGTTCAAGTAGCATTACTTTTGCTTGCTGGCTGATGGGGGAAGTACTGCACCCCATGTCATAAGCAGTGTATTAGAAGGGGTAGGAGCAACATGGAAAGAGCCATTAACAGGTTTCTTGGTGAAATCTCATGCAGCTCCTGCCAGGCCAATACCTAAGTATGTTTGCACAGAATTAAGAGAGAGTGGCTAACAAATGAAAATTTACTAGCCTGCATTTCCTGTATTTTTTTTTTTAATCCCAGATGAAACTGGTTTGGGTAGGGAGAGATGGTTAACCATGTTAGTTTGAAGTGAGGCAGAAAGCAGGGTAGATATGCATCTTATCTTCTTTAATTAGTCTATATAGAGAACATAAGCTTTTGTGAACTTCAGCTCATTTGATTAGGTGCTGTGAAAGGACAATCATAGATCAGTATATTAAGTGGAGTAAGTGATTTGAATACAAAAGGTAAAGAGCTATCATGGATTATATCAGAAGAGTGCCTGGAACAATGGGGGCCAACGTAATTATGTGACCTTTTATCCTCTATCTCCATAGTAACTAATAGGTTACAGTAGAGGTAAATAGACTGCTCTAACTTTTATCTGAGCCTAATTTGCACAAAATGAACTTTTTCCAACCAGGAGATCTTACAACACCTTCAGTTCTCCTGTGAAATACCAATTTTCATTTCCAGTGGTGCTGAACATGGGGGTGGGGGCAGGCTGCAGCCACCATGATAGCCCCACTCCCAGCACTGTTGCCGCCTGCCCCACCCCACCCACTCTGCGCACAGCCATCTAGAGGAGCCCAAGCATGAGCTCACAGCAGCAGCTTGCCCTCACCCTGCATACAGATCTGCGGGGACATGTGCCCCCAGTGCCTCCCCTGGGAGTGTACGCAGTGGTGGGAGCCACCGCTTCCCCCCCTTCACACCCCCTGGATGAACCACAGATTCTGTACCACACCCTGCACCGTCCTGGCTGGGCTGCGCCTGCCCCTGCCTCAGCCCTACCCCCACTCCATCCTTCATTGTGACGGCTCGATCTGCCCCTCCCACCCACCC